GGGCGACTTTCTCTCTCCTCCGGGCTTTGTGTTTATCTCTCTAAAATCTGGAGATTAATATGAGAAGGAGATCTCTTAACGCGGAAGTTTCGCTTTTATTGCTCCGACTTTGGGTAATGGGCCACCAATGTTAAGCTGTAAACCAACCCATTAACAAATTAAAGTATTTCATACGGGTGGGCTGATCTACCCTATGTAAACAATGAAAATTTTATTGCATAGTACACCGGTCAAAATACTTGTAAAAAATGCGGAAAAAACATTATATCATTGTATTATTAATATAAAGAACATTGAATATAAAGAACATTAAATATTGAATAGCTCAACTGGTTAGAGTTTCCCTCCCGATTTCAGGAGATCTTGGACCATGGAAAATTATGAATTTCAAAGTGATAAGTAAATAAAAAATATACAAAGATGTAATTGACGAATTCCTTGTTTAGGAAAAAGGTACTTTTCCATTTATCTATTACTTTTACTCTTTTTTTTTTCTTAATTTTGTGTATTTTCAGAGGTTGAAGAAGATGTTCTTTAACGTTTGATGAATGTTCATTTACCATTTTTTGGATCCATATTCATTTTTTTAATTGGAATGTTCATTGATTTTAATTAATATGTTTTTTAGGTCTGAATTATATGCTCATTACAATTCAATTTATTTATATTCTTTATTTAAGGTATATAATTAAATTTAAAATGCCTTTTTGTTTTTTAATAATACAAGATATTGTTATGAAATATTTGTGGATATCCATTATCCTCGCTTGTATCATTCCGAAACAATATAGATCTAGGGTTTATACATATTTGTGGATGTCCATCTTGTATCACTCTATAACTTTCTAGAGTTCAGAGTTTATTATTCTTCAAGCAAATTCTATTAATCGTACTATATAATATATATATATATATATATATATATATATATCAATTCCCTCTCAATCTTTATGTTTCTCCTTATTTTACATGTTATAAGCAGCAAAGCTCTAATCAATATGTAAATTTTATTGTTGATTTCTTAGGTTAATGATTAATGTGTTGTATACTAGATGTGCTAAATTATACTCATTATTATCTTGTTGTGTCGCATCTTGGGAAGAAATTAGAAGGAGATTAATCTTGATCATGGGTTTGAACTTTTAATAATGAAATCACACGTTTCAAGAATGTCATATCATTCCCAATCCTCATTAATTAATTTGGGACTAGTACCAGGAGTCTCACGGTATTAATAATTTGGAACGTTAATGACAGTGCCGCTTTATTTAATTACAAAGAACTATTATTTTTCGGTTGCATTGGTTTGTTTATCTTGAATCATCTTTATCATCTATCCATAATATAACAGATTAGCCTTAATCAAGGGCTATACTTTATTTTCTTTTCATTGACGTTTTCATGAGTGACAGGCTAGCAGATGGCGTCGACAACATGAAGTTGACGATAAGGCTGGTTCGTTTTTATAGTGGGAAAGGTTTTGATATCAGGAAAGTTCATTCTCAACTATCCTGTTATTGTTAATTTTAAACCTTTACATAATATGTTTATATTGTTTCCCAAATTTTTGTATTTTTATTATTCTGGAGTTCGAGCAATTTGGGGATAGTTGGATTTGATACAGAAAATAACTAATTAGTAGTTTTGTTTTGATTATGAGTTTTGTTTAATTTGAATCTAAAAGGGTATTTAGTAGGGATGACAACGGATCGGACTCGGGTCGGACTGTGTAGGGTCCGAATCCGATTCGTTTACTAAACAGACCTAAAGTTCGAATCCGAATCCGATGGACTCGACCTCCTCCGAATCCATGTCCGTTTTCCAAGCATTATTTTCTTCCGTTTCTTAAATCAGAATTACAAATTTCTTTCGTTTCTTAGATCAGAATTAGAAAAAATACAAATAAAGGGGTTGCAAAAGTTTAGAATTTAATTTTTACACATAAAAATAATAATGATTATTACTTAAACAATTATAAAAAAATTAAATAAATTTCAGATCTACACAAAAATAAATACTCGTACTTCAAGAACTTTCAGTTCTACCCAAATTACTTAGGGAAACAGAGAACTTCCAAGGTTTTTCTTGGCTTCGGCCTTCAGATCTTCAAGTGAAACAAGTGGTGTGAAATCAAACAACCATACAAAAAACAAAAATTACTTCATAATAGATGATGAGAGACTGTTCACGAGTTCTTATTATTTTGGTTTAGATTTCCATTATTGATTGATAATTGGAGTAGTTGGCAAAAAAACTCTCAAACAAATTGAGTAGTTCTGAGAAAATTGAGGAGATAGAAAGGGGGTTAGGAGAGAGGAAGGAGAGGGGTTTGAAGAGAGGAGAGGAAAAATTGATGCCTTGAGGTTGAATGGTTGAGGAAAAGTGGCGGAAGAGTACAAAAAGTAGGGTAAAATAAATTTATACTCCATGTAAAACTCGCGGGTCGGACTTGGTCGGATGCTATGTAAGGTCCGAGTCCGATCCAAATCCTATTCGGATTCGGATTTTTTTATCGGATTTGAACTCGGATTTCATTATTTCGAACTTGGATCGGACTTTTTTCCTCGGATCGGATCGGACTCGGATCGAACTCGAACTAAACTGCCATCCCTATAGAATTATTATTGGTGTTAATTTTATGAACGTATGGTTTTCATGAACTTGTAGTACATCTGTACATATATTTGCTAGATTTTTGGTATTACTTTTCCTATCCGTAAATGAGTTCGGTTATTTCTCTATGCTTGATAGCAAATATGAATTGTTTTTTGATTTAGCAATTATTTACCCATATAATTTGTTTGTGAAATCTTAAGTCTAATGCCTTGAATGTTTGTAAATTGTACGAATTAAGCCTAAGGCACATGTGAAACCATTTATAATTTATGTATTGAATTATGTTGTACATATGCATGCTTTTATATTTCAAGTATGATATGGACCATGTGGTTTTCCACTAACGTGAACGTGTTAATGTTGATTACTTACGTGCTTGTTTCTATTTTCTAATTAAGCTTTATCAGGCAATATATTGATATAATTGATCCAACGGTATAGTTGATTCAATCGATTCGGGTATGTTTTTATTAAAGCGTGAAGTAGTAGGTTCTCATATTGTTTTTACCTTCTCATTATAAAGGTGTAGATAAATTGACTTATTAATTTGAATTAAGTTAAGTACGAAAGATCTATTCAAAAAAAAAAAAGTTAAGTACGAAAGATTAAGTTTATTTATTTGAAGAGGTGAAGTTTTCATATTTGTAAATATATATGTTTATTAATATTATGAGCAAAAGATGGTGCTATTTGAAGCGGTCCCTGGGGATCTTAGGGTCGTTTTATTGGAGGATATGGGTGGAGTTGCTCGGCCTCGGCTAGTGCCTTCTTCAGAGTGGCGTGAAGCTGTTGTTTTTTATTTATTGCTTTTTTTGTTTTCTTGTGTTTAGTTGTGGGTTATCTGTTTTTGTGTGCTTTTAGTTTTGTTTGCTGCTTCTTTGCTTTGTAGCTCTTCTTGGGCTTGGCCCTCTCTTTCACCAAAAAAAAATATAATAATATACTACGTATGAAATATGAAGTCCTAAATTTAATTTGTGACATATTCAGATGTAACTAGTTATAAATTACATGACCAAATAAACTACATGACTACTAAATGAGGCAACAATCAATATAAATTTATGGCATATTTTAAAGTATTTGTTACCTATGAAAGCCTCATAATTTTATGTTATTTACACTTATTACTATTAACTTATACTACGTATTAATCTAAACTTGGTATGTACTATGGTCATGTTATTAATTAAATTTATATATTATTATGAATTATTGGAAAGAGACATATATTGAACCTAAAGTAATACTTGTACATATGGACATGGAGTTCCATTACGACAATTTATTTATGCCCTTAAAATATCTAATTGTTTTGAAAGTATGTTAACTAAATTATTATTATCCTTATAAGTTGATAAAATTATGAAATATACTATATACATTATATTGATTGATGCGTGATTAAATTCAATTATAGTATTATGTACCTACTTGAAGTTAGATTATTGGAATGAATGTTAATTGAATATGATGTGCGGACCCGAAGTTCCTTATATTTATAAAGAGTATTTACACACATAGACTTAAAGTTCCTAGCTTGAACATATAAAGGGCTCAAAACCCTTAAAGATAATACAAAGAAATGTGCATGATCTACAAAGCTAAAGCATGTTGCATAGATATCCACTACATACTAACGTGATTCTATAAACACAATATCATGAAATAATATTATACAAAAGATATTGAATAGTATTCAAGTTATTGAACTTTGGGTGAGAATTTGAATGATTAAAAAGGTAACAAGCATGTTTGCATGAAATTATTCTTGATTATAAAGTTTATAATCATTGCAAACATGATTATATACATCATTTATTTGACCAAGAAATAATGTTATGAGTTCAGTAATTAAACATGACATTGTGAGCAACTTGCATTGCTTGGAAAATATATTTAATTATTATGCCATACTTATAAGAAATTAATATAATTGGGCAAGAGTTACGAATAAGAACAAGTTTGTAAGAATAACTTTATTATGTTTGATACATGTATTGCTAAAAGAATTTATGCCTTGTGAATGAGATTTAAATGTTGTTGGATTCATTTCATGTCCCACGTGCAAGGATTAGGGGGAAATTGTATTAATTATTCCATTATTTTATCCTTGCACATAAATAATAAAATATATTGATGGTCAGTTTTGAACATACATTAACTCAAATATTAACTATTTACTTAATAGAAGTGGCCACATGCATGTTACTTAAATATTTTTAAATGATATTTCTTGAAGATGGATATAAATGATTGATCATATACTAATTATAAATGCTCCAATTAAATTATTGTCCTAGAAAGATAACATCGGTTACTAATGAACCTAAAGCACGTCTGAAGCGTTGTAGTTCAATCTATGACCCTTATAAAAGCCCCAAGTACCCTTACTGTAGCAATTTTACTGTGAACAAGAAATTGACGTTTCTGCCTTCCCCTGCACCCTTCCTTGATTGACAGGGGTGGTTCGGTCATTTCACTTTGACAATCCAGCTGTTCTGAATGAGCTGACGCGTGGCATTCATCTTTCTGATTAGCTATGTCTTCTTTCTTTTTCCATTGCTCCTTCCTGAATTCTACATTCTTTTTCCATTTCGTTCTTAATTATTTCCTTCTTAGTTGTTTCGTTGTTAATTATTTCCATTTTGAACGGGTGTTGCAGCGGTTAGTTCGATGGTGAGGTTTCATGGAGCCGTTGTAATTGCCATGGCTATTTTTGTCCTTTTGCTTAGGAGGGAAGCGTAACTCATTCTCTCTCTTTCGTTCCTGGTTAGCTGGGTCTTGTTTGCTTTTCTTTTTTCTTTCTAAATCGTTCCTTTCTGATTTTGTAAGGGTGTTGCATTAATCGTGTTTTGGCTGTAAAAGAACGATCACTAATATTTCCTCTTTTTACGCTTGTTATTTTTAACTGTATAGCTGTTAATTTCATGGAGTGGTTTGATGGAGCTTCTTTAGTCGCAGCTCTGGATCTGGTTGTTGAGCAGTATGAGGTGTGCTTAATTATTGTTTCACATTTTATTGCGAATTAGTTTAATTATTGTTGAGTTTGATGACAGAAAATTGTGAATGACCAGAAAATTATATTCTTGTAGATTTCTCTTATAAATTAATTAAGGATTAACTTAGCCTCAATGAGTATGTTGGTGAAAATTTGGATTTGGAAATTACAGTGGGAAAGTAACTTGGCTTTGGAGACTACACTGTTCAAATACAGTATTTATACAGGGAATTGTCTGGTAGTGTATGTGTATATAAAATTTGATAGAGGGGTTTTACTTTGTATTTATTGTCCTTTTTTTTTTCCCTGGGGAGATTAAAAAATGGTTGCTTTTTTGGTGAATAATAGAAATATATGTTCTTTTAAGTTGCATGTGTATTATTTAATAATTTTTAGAGGATAGATATTTGTTTATGATGTACTGGATCAATTTATATGGTGTAGATTTTTTGGCTAATAAAATATAATATGTATGTCCTTTGCTTTATTCTTTTCTTTCAACTTCTGTATTTATATGTACCGCATATTTGTTTTGCTTTCATTTCTTTTACATTTATGGCTTGCTTCTTCTTTATCCTGTGACAAAAAAAGGTTGGTTTGTGAAACTTTGATGGGGTAATTGTTTAGTTTGTAATTATCTCATAAAAATTGTAATGTGATTGCTGAAATTCCACATGGATCTCAATTATACAGACAACATTGGATAATGACTTAATGAATTTTAAACTTATACGCTACATGATCGCCTGGACATACATTGAACTACAATTACTTACTTTACAGTTATGAACTTCATATTAATAATCTAGAACGAGTTATTTAAAGTTAATTTCTGGAACCTTGAATTTGGTTAGATAGCTTATTTTTTTTATTTTTTGTGTTTTCTGTTCTCTCCTTTTTCTTTTTAATTTTTTTTTTTGAAAAATTAATTGAAAAAAAAAACATAAATATTGTAGGTCTGTGCAGTTGGAGCTGGCGGTGTTGTTAAAATTGCTTGCTGCTATTGTTGGTAAGTTTGTTGAGATCTTTTAAATTAAGATTTTACAAGGTCACTTAGTTTTCTTAGATATGCTGCCTTTAGCTGTAATTTGATTGTAGTTTTGATTTAGTGGATGTGTATGTTTCTTTAATTTTAATTTTTGCCGGTTATAGGTTATGGCTATTCAGTCAAGCAAAATTGCCATTCCATTTCGACCTCTTTTAGGTCAATTGGTTGACTGTTAAATTTTCCTAAACCAATTTATGGTTTTATAGATAAGGATAGGAACAATGCCTGCGTTCGTATTAGAACTGAATGTGGCAAGTCTGAATTTGTATTTTTCGGTGGGGAGGCTAATACAGTTCAGGAGTCGCAAGAAAGGGCTGCTCAAAAAGCTGTGCAAAAATTGATGAGCCAGCAAGGATGTATCAGCTATGCAATAAGCTTTTTAAGCATAAGGTTGTTGAGTTATGTGAGAAAGGAATAGAGATGCCTACTGCTCAGAGGAATTTGGGAAAAAAAAAACCATCCAATGAAGTTATCCATGTGACAATTGATTTTGTGAGCTTTTTAGGAGCTGTTGTTACAAGGACTGGAGCAGAGGTGAGTCTATTAGAGACTATTTGGGTTGAAGATTTGGGTTTTGTGTCTTGGCTGACAGTGTCTTGCCCACATAATGGAGCTGAAATGGAATGCATATATAGTGATCCTTGTCCTGAGGTAACTGGTGCAAAGCAAAAGGCTGCTAAAAGAGCTATTCATTACCTGGTGACTAAGTATAGCTTAGAGATCATTGATGCTAATTATGGTGCAGCTTTGGAGAAGAGTGTTGCTTGTAATGCTTTTAAGAGTAGGTTTTATCAGTTAAAGGAACACTTGGCTGCCAGAGAAGAAAACTTTGCTGGTGATGAATGCTTGACTCCTACTTCCGAAAGGTTTCAGATACCTAAGGTTGGTGTGCCTCCACCTGATCCAATGAAAAGACGCTCTGCTACGCCATTAGATGCTGCATCTTCTTCTACCGTTAGAGTTTTCGAGCCTTTGGTTTCTGGCATACCTGAACTAGAGACTGTTTGGAAGCGCACAAAGTTTGCTTAGGTCATTTGGAGTCTTAGTTTAGTATTTTGGGTAGCAAGATGTTTGCCTGATTAAAGGTGTTTAGGTTTAGTATTCACATATGCCTAATATTATCTAGATTTCTATCTTTCCTTTTGTTTTAAAGCTTAAGTCTATGAGTAGTGATTGTTGAAATATTTCATTAGAAAATAGACTTGTATGCTGTAACTGAAATCTAATGTAATGTGTATTTTGAGTAATAAATGGATGCACTTTTGATTTGCATGTTGGTTCAAGAATATTTTATAATTTTACTGTTTATTGCACGGCTTCTTAATTTAATAATACTCTTTTGTGTTTGATGATATGTATGTTCAGTTTTCTGTTTTTATAAGCAACGATATCTGACAGGTCAGCACATTACATTTGCCTAATATCCTGAGTTTATGCACCAGACATTTGTCATGTAGGCATCCTCTATAGTTTTAAAATCTATCTGAAGTTGTCGTATAAGGTTTTTGTTTTTGTGTAATGCTTCTGTTATTGTTTTTTGTGTTTGTTAAGAATGAAGAAATAAGGATTGACTAGATTATAATCTGAAAGTTTTAAAATGTCAGATAGTTCATTCAGTCCATAAAGTTTTCTTGGTGTAGGAAAGGAATTGGAGCAGCTTGCTCTTGCGGCTGGGTTTTCAGATGCCAAATTTTATGAGATTGCTGGCGGACTAATTGGGAATCTGGTGGTAATTCAATAAGTGGGTCCTTGTCTATTACATCATAAATACGGCATTATGATAAACTGGTGAATTATTAGCTTTTGTTTTACCTTGTCATCTTTTTATCTGTTTAATTACATACTGGATAATTTGTAAGTGTAATGAGTCTAATTATTGGTTCATATGACTTCTTTCCGCTAGTCAAATTGTCATGAACCTGGAACTGATTAACTGTGGATATAATCTCTCATTTATTTCTTTCCAATCTAGCATATATTTGCATTTAGCATCTTTTGTTTTGGGGATTGAAAAGGGACTTTTTTTTAGAGTAGATGAAGAGAACCTTTGAACATCCATAGAGTAAATAAATTGGTTAAACTTCCTCCGTTATTTTTAGATGCATCACTTTAAAAATGAAGGACTACTAGGCAATTTTTGGAGTACAGAGAGAGAGAGAAAAAATAAAGAGGGCTCATGTAATGTGGGAGAGATAGAGAGAATTTATTAATTAAAAGGAAATTGATGCAAATATTGTTACTGATATGCAGATACCATTAATAAGATACAAAGCAATGTAGTGGATTAGTAGAATTCATTTTGTTTTGTTTTGTGGCATTGAAAATAGGGGGGTATTGCAATTAGAAGCTGAGATCAGTGTCAAATTCAGGAATTACTGTATTGATGCTGCCTTTGATCACAGAATTTTAAGCAGAACAAACATTGAACAGGTAAACATCTACTTAGAATTGAGAGAAATGTGCAGGTTAATCTATCAAGTTGATGGAATTTTTGTGGATTTAATTTGCACAGCCTTTTAATTACCTGCTCATTTTACAGACCAAAAAACATCTTCTGAACTGCAGCTTCGGAGAATTTAATATGTTTTCTTTTTACAGTAAATGACATAAACAGGAATCATCAATATCCTGTGCGCATTGTTGAGATAGCTTGATCTGCACCAAAGTAATATGGGTATGTCTGAAAATTGACATGATGTTTAGGAAGGATTTTTTTTATACATGCTCATTGCTATACTCATTTACGATGTTTGTTTAATGTTTAAACTACTGAGTTATTGCTTTTAATATGTATATGATAGCTGATGCACCTGTTAACTTTAAGAGACCATCAAGTAAAGGGCGGAAATCAAAGCGAATAAGTGATTTGATATCAAATCATAATCTTCTAGGTAAAGTAGATGACTTATAATAATGGATTTTATTTTTTGTGAAGCAAATTCATAAACTCTTTATGCTTTGCACAGTCAAGCAGAACAGTCAAAGTCCAAAAAGGCGAAATCAAGACCTTCAAAATATACTGTACTTGAAAGTGGGTATTTTGCCTTGGTTTAGGTTTATAAAGTGAATATATATGTAGTGCTATTTAATCGGACCTGGTGTAATTTTCTCTTCGTACCTCTACTGAAAGACCCGTGTCTTTTAGAGTTACACCATCAAATGCACAGAGTTCAAAGCAGCTAAGGGATGCTGCTAAAAGTAAGCCTTGGTAGAGATTTCAGTTAATAAAGTTAACACTTATATGCTGTTGCACAATATAATTATCTTAGATATCCTTTTATACTATTACAAAAACCCCTGCGGCCACTATAGGAAGACCATTACCTACGCAACCCTTAGAATTATCTCCGCCTACCTACTGTGCTGAGTGCGGGGCTAGAAAGTTTGCGTTTGAAACCCTGCATTTCTGCTGTGGCAATGGTGATATTAAAATAGCTGCAAATGAATATCCCCCTGAATTAGTGAGACTTTTTACTTCAAGAGATGAAGATGCTGTGCATTTTAGAAAGTATGCTCGATTATACAATAACATATTTGCCTTTAGTTCAATTGGAGGTAAAACTGATAGAGAAACATACAAAGGTATATATGTCTTTAAATTACATGGCCAAATATATCATTCTGTACCAGACTTAATACCAGATGAGAATGGTCCAAAGTATCTACAGCTTTATTTCTATGATGGCCAAAATTAATTGAAACACAGAACAAATTGCTTTCCTGAATTAAGACAGGATGTTATTGACAAATTAATGCAAATAACTAAAGATAATCCATATGCAAGATTTTTCAAATCTTTGAGAGAAGTAAATGTCGATGAAAGTACTAACATTATAATAAATTCAAACATTATGCCAGATGAAAGGGTGTATAATGCTCCCACTTCAGATGAAGTTGCTGTTATCTGCCTGATAGTGTTTCATCAAGTCAGTGTTCATGGCCACATGTTCTTGTGACAACAAAATCTGCGAAATCCCATCGGATTGCCCATTTTTATGGGTGCTATGACCCTTTACAGTATCCCCTGCTATTTCCAAGAGGTGAATGTGGTTGGCATCAGGGTCTAAAAAAAACTTCTTATGGTGGAGATAGGCAAGTGGCAGCAGAACCTGATCCTATTCAATCATGTGCAGTGAACACTCCGGAAAATTTTCTGGATGCAGAAGCTACTCGTAAGTTCCTATCAAAACTATGGGATTTTTTTGGTTAATTGCTTCTTCGCCTATGTTCCCTTAAGATTGCTTAGTTTGAATTTTTTTTGGATTTTAATGTATATAGGAGCTTCCAGAAGACATACAAAAGCTGATAAGAATATCTCTGCAAGGGAGTACTATGCTTATAAGCTTCAAATTAGACCAGGAAACATGCTCTTAAGAGCAGGCCGTGCATTTCTGCAATACATCACAGATATGTATATCAAGGTTGAAAATACAAGGTTAGATTTTTTCCGGCAAAATCAAGATACAATAAGAGCAGTTCTTTATAAGGGTATTCTTGACACAGTAGAGAGTGGACAGACAAGTGCAGCTAATGTTGGTCATAAATTCATTTTGCCACCATCATTTATAGGAGGCCCTCGTGATATGAAAAGGAGATATCTAAATGCAATGGCTCTTGTGCAGAAATACGGGAAGCCTGATCTCTTTGTCACTATGACATGCAATGCAAATTGGCCAGAGATAAAAGCCGAACTAGAGCCCGGTGAGACTGCCCAAGACCGACCTGATTTAGTTGCTCGTATATTTCGGGCGAAGTTGATTGCTCTGAAAAAAAAATCAAGAAAGACATGGTATTTGGAAAAGTAATAGCAATGATATATGTTGTAGAATTTCAGAAAAAAGGATTGCCACATGCTCATTTCTTGTTGATTCTAGAACAGCAGCATAAGATGAAATCTCCTGCTGATTATGATAGGTATGTTTGTGCAGAGATACCTCCTGTGACTCAGCCTGAACTGCGTAAGATTGTAGTAAGGCATATGATGCATGGACCATGTGGCCAATTAAATCCAGAGTGCCCTTGTATGAGAAAGAAGGATAATGTCTTTTCTTGTAAAAATGGATATCCAAAACAATTCACCGCACAAACAACGACAAATAAAGATGGTTATCCTTGTTATAAGAGAAGTGATACTGGAGAACAAGTGAAGGTCAGAAATGCCGAGTTAGATAATCGATGGGTTATACCTTATAACCCTTATCTCGCAGCACTCTTTGATTGTCATTTAAATGTAGAGGTTTGTTCGACTATAAAAGCAGTGAAATATTTATAAAAATATGTTTACAAAGGACATGATCGAGTGGCCTTCAATATTTCGGCAGAAGATAGAAATTCTGGAGATGAAATTGCTCAGTTTCAGTCAGGAAGGTGGGTGTCACCGTGTGAAGCGGCTTGGAGAATTTTCGGGTTTGATTTATTTGAGATGCATCCACCAGTCTTACCTCTGTCTGTTCATATTCCAGACATGAATAGTGTCTGTGTATGCCCATATGAACGTCTTGATATAGGTATTGCAAGCGGTGTTTATGCTAAGACTCAATTAACATAGTTCTTTCGTATGAATGCAGCTACTGATAATGGTCTTGGTTACTTATATGGAGAATTTCCAGAACACTATAAGTGGGATGCTTCAGCAAAAACATGGTCCAACCGACAAAATAAAAAACCGATGGTTGGCCGTTTAGCTTTTGTGGCTCCTTCTGAAGGTGAACGCTTTTACCTTCGACTACTATTACTGAATGTCAGGAGTCCAAAATCTTTTACAGACTTACGCACAGTTCAAGGTTATGTGTGTGCAACTTTCAAGGAAGCATGTCTTAAAGCTGGCATTTTGGAAGAAGATGATGCTGCAAGCATTTGTTTGGCTGAAGCAACTGAAATTCAGCTCCCTGGGGCTCTACGCTGATTGTTTGCAACTGTTCTTATATTTTGCCAGCCGAGTGATCCGGTAGAACTATGGCGCAAATATTATTCTGCATTGTCAGAAGATTTTGCACAAAAACACTCTGGTGCAGAAAGCAAAATTAAGAAACTAACTGTCAGATCAGTGGAACAACATTTAGAGGCTATGGGGAAGTCATTATCTGCCTGTGGTTTGGCTATTTTAGTGGATGACAATGATAGCCAGATTGATAGGACAAAAGACATTCAAGACGCCTTAGATGCTCCAATTCCTCAGGCTTGTATAGACAGCCGTGGCCTACTAAATACAACACAAAAAGAAATTTTTACATGTATTATGCAACATATAGTAGAAGGAAAACCAGGGGCATTTTTCGTAGATGGTCCTGGTGGAACTGGTAAAACGTTCTTATACAATGCGTTGTATGCTGAGATCCGCCTTATGAATAAGATTGTTTTACCTACCGCTACGTCTGGAATAGGTGCAGCAAATATTCCATCAGGTAGAACAGCACACTCAAGATTCAAGATTCCAATGGACAGTGATGCTTCATTAGCCTGCAGCGTTTCTAAGCAAAGTAGCTTAGCAGCATTAATAAAAGAAACAACTCTTATAATATGGGATGAAGCATCTATGGCAAACAAGCAAAATCTAGAATCTCTAGACCTTCTATTACAAGACATATGCGATAGTGATGTGATATTTGGTGGGAAGGTAATTGTCTTCGGTGGAGACTTTCGACAAGTGTTGCCTGTTGTTCCTAACAAGACTATTAGAGAAGCAGTGGAAGCAAGTGTAGTGAGTTCTTATATATGGCAGCATTTGCGGAGATTCAGGTTAACTGAAAATCTAAGAGCTAGGGAAGATCCTTCATTTTGCCAGTTTTTACTTGCACTGGGAAACGGTGAACTGCAGACCATGGAAAGTGATTTTGTTGAGTTGCCACCACAGATAGTGCAGACTTTCCAGCCTGATGCTGATCCAATAGATGAGTTACTCGAATCTTCTTTTCCAGAACTTGGTTCGGGTGCTCTGGACCCTCAAATCTTTTCAAGAAGGGCTGTTCTAACACCTATAAACGACGATGTTGATACTATAAATTCGTTCATGATTGAGAGATTCCTAGGACAAGCCATATCTTATACAAGCTATGACAGTGTTCTAGATGATAGTGGCAGCGTATATCCTACAGAATTCCTGAATAAACTATGTCCAGGTGGAATGAGCCCTCACAATCTTGTGCTCAAAGAAAACTGCCCAGTAATATTGCTTAGAAACCTCCTGCCATCTTCTGGTTTATGCAATGGAACGCGCCTTATATGTAAAAGGTTTTTCCCTAATTTAATTGAGTGCGTGATTTTTGTCGGACAGTATCAAGGGGAACATGTATTTATACCCAGAATTAAACTCAGACCATCAAGTTCTCAGAAATATCCTTTCTAATTTCAGAGGAACCAGTTTCCTATCAAGCTCAGCTTTGCAATGACTATTAACAAGTCACAGGGGCAAACTTTAGATCAAGTGTTAATCTATCTCCCTCGTTCGTGTTTTTCACATGGTCAGTTATATGTGGCTCTTTCACGTGCACGATCTGCAGATAAAGTGAAAGTTATATCAGTAGCTCCTACTTTACAGCATTCAGAGAACTCTGTTAAAAATGTCGTATCTTATGCTGTCCTAAAGCTAGCAGGAGTAATCTAGGTGATTATAACACTAACCAAGCTTACTAAGTTGGTTTTTCGCGATGTATAATGTCGGTCCTAAACTTCCTGTTTTTCCCTTATTTTGCAGGAGTAGCAGAGAAAATAAACTAAAAGCAGGTATATTGTTTTCTTTCTTATTTTCAATATAAAGTGTGTGAAATGTTGTACAAAGAAATAAGACATTGAATGCAACAATTTTATTTATTGTTCATATATAGATTATATTGATGATTGAAATTGATTAACGATTCAATATCCGTCATGGTTAGCTCAATTTTTTGAGGTCTGAATTCAGACTTAACTTAAATGCATTAATCGTGTGCCTAGTTTAGTTGATAGCTCCTGGATTATAACTTGAGTTTGTTTGTTGGCTGGGCTCAAGGGTGGTCAGGTGGATCTTGGTTTGGATTGGCGGGGTTTTGAATCTCCTAAGATAAGCTAAGCCATGTGCAATCACTTCAGCAGTGGCCCAATGTTGAATTCCATGTATGCCTTTTCTTTCCCCTATTTGTTTCATACTAATATACTTTATTTTGCTACAATCCATTTGAATGTGAATGAGCTAATTCATATATGGCATTAACTATAGGTGATATTTAATGACAATAATGGTTGGTTAGTGATTGTGGATCATATCTATCTTGCTTTAGATTGCTGCTGTGTATTATGTGTGTGTGCGATTGTTTTAACAGGACTTAGTGACTACTGTAATATGTTATTATGCTACTTGATTCCAATTATGCATTCTGAACTTTGATACATGTGATTCCTTTCAATGAGTTGGTTTATGAGCTTTATTCTATAAGTTATGAGCAGAGATTGCTTTTAGTAAATGTACACGGTCAGTTTGTTACTCTGGATTAGATCTTGTTTTAAAATTGGTGTTTTGTATTATGTGAGTTGTTGTTTGGAGAGTAATAAGTGTTTAATTTTGAGTAAATTGCTATTGGGTTTTCCGGCGCTGACATCACAAGGAAGGAGTGGACTGAAAATCTGTCTGGACTCTGCTACATGTCTGCTGGAAGATGAAAGCTGTCTCAGGATTTATTGCTGAATATTCAATTATAGGTCCTCAGATGTACCAAATATTCATGACATATATTTTGATTTCAGGTCCTTCAGCAGTTCAGAAGCTTCCTCCAGAGCAATTTTGATGGCATGGTTTTGTGATAACTAAAGCATCCGAAGCTGGGTTTAGGAATGAAATGTATAAGCATCTTGTTAAATTGTTTCTTGATCATCGGGCAAACCATGCATAAATTGTTTTTCTCTCAAGCCTTCGGCTTACATGTTTTGATGTAGCATACACTTATAGTGGACATGATACTTTTAATAATAATTCTCCTTTGATTATAGCTGGTATTGTTAAGAGCAATTAGAATGATTGATGGTTGAAATTAAACTATGTTTGCTTCACTATTTAACATTATTGGTTGTAAGAGCAATTAGAATGATTGATGGTTGTTTCTAATTTATTTATTTAGTTATTTTTTTAAATGTGAAATCGTGTTATCCTATTTGAAAGTTTGTTTTTATAAAATAGAAAAATAGTAAGGGCTGGAGTTTCAATCTTTCCGTGGTCTTAATAATCTTGATATATGTCACCTTCATCTCCTCGGTCGCCTCACCTCACCTCTTCACCTCACCTCCTCGCAATTACTCCTTGATGCTTTTGTAAATTTTACAGGGTTTTAGCTTTTATAGAAGTTAACAGAATTTTGATTTTTGATATTTATTTTGTTAAATTTACAAGTTTGCATATTTGAATATAGAATCTCAGCCGCGTTGAAACAGTAGCAGCTACCCAGCAATGAGCACCCCTTGCCAGGTGCCAGTGGGCCAAATGTCATCAAGTGAGCTGTGGTAATGATTTTATTTATTTATAATGTTAGTGAATATCAATTTCTCAGTCCAATTGTGTCAGTGTAGTCAATTTAAGCTTCTGCTATCGTTTTAGCAGCTATGGTGATGGATCATCCAGGGCCAAGCTTACCGTTATGGCATGTTATTGTTCGTGAGGATGAAACTTCTGAAGATTCAATTGTTCAGAAATTGTGTTGTAACACCTCTTGTCAAAGTTAAGGATTCAAGGTCTTTGTTTGTAGCATATGATATGGACCTGGGGACCAGCTAACCGAGGTATATTTGGATTTTCATTGATATGCTGATTCGTACATCATTTTGGTGATATTGGGAATAACATTCGGCTATCTGTTTCTGTTTCTATCCATGGGTTTCTTTGCTTAAATAGATGATCTGTCAACATGTTGGTTTTCAATTTTGAGAATTTATACCCTTTTCTTTCTAATTTTAGGTTCTGGAATTTTGAGGGGAAATTGAAAGAAACATAATTGAGACCATGCTTGTTTAGTGTGGAATTCCAACTTAGTAGGATTATCCTTTATAAACCTCCTATAAGTTGGACTTACTGCTAATTATATCTTTCTATCCTCTTTCCTGAAAGCCCCTTTCCCCTTGCAAATGTACTCTACTGCTGTCTTTTGCTTCATATATGTATTTATATTTAACTGATTATCTAATGTGATTTCAAACCCTTGATCTCTTTGCTCAATTATGTCGTGAGAGAAGATACCCTTATTTGAGGCTTGATGGATCAACGTCAATCAGCAAACGACATAAGCAGGTAAGCTGTTTTAATGATTTTTCAAAGGTCACTATTTTGTCCATAAAAAAAGTACATAAAAAGCTTTTTTATGAGGAACTCTCATTTGTTCAAGTGCATTGCAGGATGAATTTGCTTTTCTCCTAAGTAGTAAGGCTGGTGTGTTTGCTTGTAGGCTGCTGCAAGAGTTTGGAGGGATGGACAAAAGAAGAGAGTATAAGTTTACAGATTTCTGAGCTCTGGAACCATTGAAGAGAAGGTTTTGTTTGACACATCTCTCATTTTACTCTATGACTTTTAAGAAATTCAGAGAAGCAATTGGGTGATTAACAAATTAGATGTGTTCTTGTCTGAATTTCACTTAACAATACCTGAAGTTCCTTCTAAATTCCATTTCGGAAGTAGTTTAATAGATTGTGCTGAATCACAAATGTTCAATTAAAATATAAATATTTGTTTGATTTTAGATCAGAATAATTTATCAGGTAGCATATAGATAGATATAATTTGAGTTCTGTGGGTTTGTGTGGTGTGTCATTGTGCTGCTTTTTTCTTTTTTGCTGCAGATCGAGACTTGTGATAGCTCAAGCAAGGCTCACAGTGTATTCTTAGCTCGAAAACCCAAGTTTCTATGGATTTTGAATCGAACTAGAATGTTTCTGAGGTTGTGTTCACTTTACTCTGCAATCCTTCCTCTTGTGTTTCTGAGTTTTGTTAATTATTACTAATGAAAACTGATTGTTCATAATTATATTTGATTTTTTACCAAATATGAAGATAACTATTTTTTATTTCTAATTATAACTTTAAATTTGAAACGAATGCCTTGAACTAGCCAACAAGCAGAACTAGATTGTTGACTCTTTTTTCCAATGTGATGCTGATAGCATCGTGTGGTCTACAAGTTTGTACATCAATGGATGATAAAGCCATGAATTTTGATATTGCAGACCTCTCATATATTTCAATTTATTGTCTGCTACTAAATTCCTCCTGTTTAATTTCTTTTAAAGCTACATCACTTAGTAAAATTTTCTTTTCAAAAAGTGTACATCTTTTAGTAACTACTTAATTAGGCAGAGTAATATGGGTTTTTCAAAGTTCATTCTCTTATATCTTGTTTTGTTATATAATCAAACATATATTTACCCAACTTGTAGTCAAGAAATACACAAAAATATACTTATCAACTATGTGCATTAAATAACATTGGAGTTTGCTGAGGTATTCACTTACTTTGTCCGCATTTACATTCAATGTAATGCATGTAAGACATAAAATGGCTATGCCTACTAAGGTGAAATGTTTAAATTTAGTTTTCAAGCATAAAATAGAAGTTAGTATAAAGAGCTGTACAATTATATATATATATATATATATATATATATATATATATATGCTTTGATTATGACTGATTGTATAAGCCACTCCCTTAAAAAAAGGAAAATTGTACCCCAACATTTTTCTAGGTTGTAGTGGTTATCTATTATATAAAATCAAGATATTATTATTCTATTACTTATAAAAACAATAAACTTTTGCAAGCTTTAAAAAGTAATATAAAAGTACAGTGAGCAGCTGGAATTCTTTACCTAAAGTATGGAATGAACAGTGCAAACAGTAAGAAGGAAGAAAAAAATTACATTAGTTATTCTGAACACTATTACCAGAACCTTCCCCAAAAACTGTATTCTAGCTATTTCCTATTTTTAAAATTTGTACTAACTCATATAAAAGGTATTTCATCTTTGGCATTTCATTTTTTTTCACAGAAGAAATCAAACAAAGTAGCAGTGACTTACTCAGCCATGGCAGGTATGGTCCCTTCTTTTACAGATTGGTTCCATTATCCTTTAGCTCAATTATTCTTAATGTTTTTCCTATATAAATTCCTTATTGTGTGCTTGATTAATTAATATTTAATATTAAGTGTTGTAACATTTTACATTATCATGTAAAACTACTGTTGTACAAAATAACAAGAAAGCATTTGTATACACAGATAAAAAATACAAAACAGCTAGACAGAAGCCAGAGTATGTGTACTTGGATCAGTTAAATGCAGCAAGCAAGACTTATATAGCAAGAGTAGTTGTTGCTGGAAAAGGAAGGGACACACTATCTTCCAAAAAAAAAACAGTTAGATTCCAAACTTTACTTCTAAAGGATGAAAAGGTATGCATTTATTACTTTATATATGTGAATATCACACTAACTTTGTTACAATTATGATGCAACTGAAAGAATATTCCTAACTGTAATCTAAATCATATCAAGCATTAAGGTAGGCTTAAAGCGTTATGGTAGGCTGTACAAAAATTACATTAACTACTCTTATAATGATCATGCTTATGCTATAATCATGCTTTTACTTATGTTATAATCTTGGTCAGCTTAAGATTCAGTTAATAGAGTACACATAAAGCTAGAGTATAATGCAGTTCTAATTATGTCTAAATGTTCATGATTCAAGTGAAATATAAAGTATATAGATTTATCTTACAATAAAATCTAAAACATCTTGTAAATATGCTATTCTACAAAGCTTATTATTGTTAGATCTTTTGAGTAACCTTTTTATTCTTTTATAATATAAACTACATCAATGTTAAAATCACTTTGTTTTAGCAAAAATTATGTTAAATAAAGCACGTATTCTGTGACACTTTAATTAAATCTCAAACAAAAGATGACTTATTCTACCTATCTAATAGCAAATTATGTATAGTTAATAATTTTAAGGAATCTTATAATATAGTTATTAAGCTCACCTTGCTTCATTATCATTTTCTGCTTTATAGGGTAATAGGATGCGTGGTACTTTATTCGGCGATCAAATTGAAGCATTTGAAGAAGCATTACAGTACCTAGGTGAATACGACATTTCTGCTGCACCTATTAAATTCATTGACGAAAATTGGAGAGCTGAGCTTGATCAGTTTCCCTACCAAATGGCTTTTGGTAGTAGAACTGTGATCCAGCCAGTTCATCCAGAGCTCGGACCAATTCTGCCTAACTATCAACCATATACCCCGTGCAGTTGATCCTGATGAGAAATACGGTATATTGCTCTCACATAACAGTGTCACATAAAAATAAAATTAAAAAAACACTAACAAACTTGTCTGAATTCACATATATTGTGGGTGTGGTGTTATTTGTTGAAGAAGAGCCAAGGAAAATTGAAGCCAGAGATGGAAAGAGAGAGAGCTTCGTACGAGAAATAGTCGTTACTGATGAAAGGTTAAAATCAGATCAGCTAAATGTTCAGGAATAGTAAAAATATTATTTGATACATATTACAAATTGAAATCACTAACAATAAGCATTTCATGTAACAGTTGTGATCAATCGCTCACCATCTCATTGTGGAATGATCTAACAGCACCCAAATACTTCGACAAATTACCTAATTGGACAGAAGCATTCCAAGTTATAGGTTTCAGGGCTCTTAAACCATATACTCGTCGTGGTAAGAGAAAAGCTATTGTACTTTAGATCCTGGATGATTTTTTGCTATGAGAAAATAAACACTATCTGTTTTATTTAGGTGTTTTAATGAATTCTGGTATGTCTACTCGAATAATCTATAAACCTGAGGGAGATTGAGCACGTGAGCTGTCTGACTGGTAATCTCCAAAATTTAGCTTAGCAAAAACAACAACCTTTACAGTATGCTGATCATCTCTATAATGAACAATGTGCAGGGCTAACCTCTTCCACCAGAAGGTATTAGATAGGCAAACTAGAGTATTGGATGTTAAGTACCCAGGTGAAAACAAAAAAATTGTTTCCATTGCTGAGCTGAGGCAGAAAAAGGTGAAAAATAATTCATTACAACCTCTTCTAAGGTTTACAACTCACTAAAAATTAAGTGTGCATGCTCTAACTGATATTTTGTGAATTATAATACATGTTTAGCCAAGCAACAACATACAGGAAGAACTTCTATGGATAGAGGTAACCATTCAGAATGCAGAATTAGAAAAAGTGCATGCATACACAGGCTGTTCAAACTGCTGGAAACGCACCAACCTTCCATTGCAGAAGCGTTATTCTTGCACTTCTTGTTATAAGAAAGAATGCATCTGCACTGAGAGGTATAACACTAGCTCTTTTTTAAAACCAACCTTATTTGTTAATATTGTACCTAACAAAAATTACTGTGAATTTATGCCAGGACTACCTTTAAGTTTGAGGCTAGCGATGGCACAGGAACTATGGCATTCACCACATTCAACGATGACACAGAAAGATTGTTTAGGAGAAGTGCAGCTGAAATCTATGCCATAAAAGAAGCGGTAAATTACAATTACCATGTACCTACCTTCTAATTTTTGAAACAGTTTAGATATGCCATGTAAATTTCCAAAGAATAGTCGAAAGTTCTTACTTCATAAAATTAAAATTACAAGTAAGAAAATTGATAAGCTTAGATAAGCGTAGGATAAATCTAGAATATAGATTTTCCAATAAACAATCACCCATGAGATGTCTAAAGGTCCAGTAAACTTGAAAATGCCAAGCACTCTTATCTTATGCCTTAGTAACCTAAAACACAAAAAAAAAAACATTTTTAGCAAAATTGTCAACGATGAAAATGTCATGCCTCAATTGAGCATGAACTGTTGAGTAATGCTGCTAATCAGTCCCGCCTAGAGAGATTTAAAAAGAAAAGGGAAGTAAAAAAAAAGTAGAGAAGAAATATAGTCATCTAACTAGATAATATTAGTGTAATACACGGCCAAAGATATATATTATAATGTTTACAAATTTTGATCTAATACTAATACTTGACATGATGATAAATACAATGCAAGATGATCACAATGCATTCGAGGCTATTCAAGACATGCTTAGCAGCAAGCTGTTCTACATTAAAGTAGGCCCTACATCGCATTTAGGCCAGAACAATGTCCTAGAATGGACTCTCAAGAGTATTGAACTTAAGGAAGATCCTGAGACACAAGAAGTTCTGCAACCATTTGATAGCACCTACAACCAAGCAAAAGATGCGAATGAAAAAGAAAAACAGCAGACTATGGAACAAGGAAATCTTGAACCAATCTTTCCAACCCCAAACATGAAGGATTCTTCAGAAAAGCATACACAAGACAACCCTTTCACTCAAACACTAGAGTCAGCTCAGGGAGATATCTAATCACTTAAGCGCAAGAAATCTTTAGGGAAAAGTCCTGTCCAATTCCAAGGTGAGGAAAATGAATCCGAGCCGCCGCTATCACAATTCCGTGCAAAGAAGAAACTTTGCTTCGGCGGAATGACTCCAGAGAAGCACAAGGCAACCCAAGGCCCAGAGATATCACCAGGAAAGGATCAAGCTCAAGATGAACCTGTGCCTCTGAAAACTGAAAAGAAGCAAGCCAAACCTATAACTGTGAAGTCTGAGAAACCGAAATAATCTTCTATCGAATCTTCCACGACAAATGATAAGGCCGTGAACTACAAAAAAATATATAATAGCCTAATGAAGTACTGCAGAACAACTATTTAAGGTGCACTACCTGCACATCATCTAAGTATTAAATATTTTGCTAGACTATAAATATATGGGCAACTATAAGAACTTTTCTTTTGCTCAGATTAGAGAACAGCACAAAATGCTAAGCACAATAGATAGTTGCCCATGTATTTTATATAAAACTCCAGCATCATGTAGTACTTAATCTCTAGCTTAATTACTTTCATAATTTCATGTATATAGGAGTAAGATGTTGTAAGAGTTGCTCTTTTGAGGGTTTCCCAGGAACAGTAACAACAGTTAGTGTTCCTGGCAAACACCATACCTAGATCATGGTCTGATGTATTGCTAGATTAAAGCGGATATTAAATTATATCTATAAAAATATAGTAGTTTATATATGTGGCTTATATGAAATTTATTATTATACTGTTTTTTAAAGAACTAATTGAAATTATGAAAAATAGTGATCAAGATAAAGAAAATAATCATCTTATGAGGATTCAAGTTTAGTTTATAAAACATCAATACAAATAATTCACATTAACTATAAACTTCAACAATAAAAAGAAAGAAAGGAGAAATTCACACATAAATAGAGAACACATAAAATTTGTTATTTAAAATATTAAAACTTAGACTAATGTTAAGAATTAAAATACCATTATTACTGTCAAATCTTTTACACTAAAATAATAAAAAGACATCTATCAAATAACAGATAATGCATCACATAGTAATTACAATTCCTTCAATGAGCTTCTTCTATTTGGTAGAGGCAATCAGAGGAGATTTCGAGCATTCATAAGCCAACATTAAGTATATACTGAACTTCATATCTTATGATCCTCAATCACAAACCTGTATCTTAAAATGAACCACGAGTAAACTGAAACATGAATAAAGTATATACAGAGTCCATTTCATGCATTATTGATAAAATCTATGGCTGTATGTCAATTTCGCTGAACATTCTTTAAAAATCAAAACTTAATTTGAAAAGTAATGTCTCAATCGTTGTTTTTCTTATTTCTCAATTATCCTTTGAAGTCCTAATTATTATTATCTTACACCCAATTTGAAGAAACCTTTAAAACCCTCAATATAGTTTTAATTTATCATTGATACTGCAGCAAAAAAAATAAGCATGCATGACACTTATTCAGAGATGACAGCAATTACAATTTATCATGCACCATTCGTTTAAAGCTGTAGCCATGTGATGCTTAAAGTGAATGCATTGTAAAATATCTCTATGAAGCTGAAGCAATATGCAAGTTATTATCAAAATAAAGGTGATGCTTAAAGCTGCACTTTTTCAAAGAGAATAGCCATA